GAATCAAAATCTACTAAAATAACCCAGGCGCATCAGACTAGCCGGTGCGAGTATGCGTTTTTGCTTAGCTTTTTAGGCAGGCTTCATTCAGAAGCGAATGCATTTTGCAGCGAACGGCCTCCCTCATCCTTTCCCAACGTCCAGTTCCTGTTCCTCACTGAAAAGTAGAAATGCTGCTAGAGAGGTCGTTCGTCGAGAATCCCAAATATGTAAGTGAACTGGATATTAGGAGAGGATGAGGGCAGTCGTTCGCTGCAAAATACACTCGTTCCTTAGTTTGCGGTATAGTTGAGTATTTCTTATATCCATCTGTAGGGAATTTCACTTCCATGCAGAATTAAGACCGCTCTTGAAAGTAGAATACCTTGGCAAAATTTTAGCCTCGCGCATTATCCGGCAAGCGAAATAGGCAGTTCGCTACAAATGTCTTTGAAATGTCCCAAGCTGTGGCGCAAGTGCAAATCGGAACTCATTTTAGATATACGATTTCCCATATGGACGATAAATATTTTGACAAAATTTCAGTCACTGTTTTCCGGCTAGTACAACTCCAAGTGCAAACTTTGATGTGACTCTACGTGCTGCAGAAACGTGCGCAATGGCTTAATTTGAAATCTTTAGCTCACGCAAGCATATAGAATATTCCTTCAAAGTTTGAGTTTCCTATTTTGCCTGGTCCCCAAAATCATTTCCCGCCAAAAAAATTTGCATATTTCTTTCGAGGGCCCGTACGCGGGGTCTAGGCGCGTATCAGCGGAGATTTAGGAATGGGAGGGTGACATGCGGGACAGGAAGCAAATGAAAAATCCGTTATCAGTAAAGGACTTCCCCATTTATGAAGCTCACGTTTCGATGAAGCTTCCGTATTTATGAAGCTGGTGTTTAGGTAAAGCTGAGAACTCTGCGCTTTACCTCAACAAGAAAACAAAAGATTATTCCAAACCCAGGCTGGAACGCACCAGGCTGGCCGGTGCGATTATGCGTTTTTGCACTTTTCGTGCTGTAGCAAGATCGCAAGGAATCACAGTAGCCAACCCTGTGACATACTGGCCCTCGAAGTCCGGGAAGTTAATTGTGCAATTGTGTGGTATGTCAGTTGTAGACGTCGACTTCAGTAACCCAAGAAATGGAAAGTTGCTGGTCCGCAAAAAAGGCCGCACTAGAGGAGTTAAATTTGAAATCTTTTGGTCACACATGAGTAGGAAACATTCTCCGAAAGTTTCAGCTTTCTAGCTTTTCCTGTTCCCGGGCTAGTAATTTCCGCCAAAATTTTCACGTGCCCGTACGTAAGCCCCGGGCGGTCCTAAGGAGCTGCGTTTGAAAGCTTTTGGTCGTACGTGAGTAGAGAACATTCCCCCAAAATTACAACTTTCTAGCTTTTCTCGTTCTCGAGCTATGAGTTTTCCCGCCATAATCTTCACTTGTCCGTACGTAAGCCCGGGCAGTCCTGGGCAGCTGCAATTGAAATCTTTTTGTCATACACGAGTAGGGAACATTTCCGTACGATTACAGCTTCCTAGCTTTTCTCGATCCCGAGTTAGCAATTTTCTCGCCAAAACTTCCACGTGCTCGTACGCGGGGCCCAGACGTGCGTGAAAGTTGAA